TTGAACTTAAAAAAAATGTTTTGTACACATAAACTTTTAGAGATTTTAGCGTCCATCTTGTCAGAATCCGATTCACCTTCCAAACTTCTGAATCTTTCCAAAATATGTAATATGAAAGTTCAAAACTGCAGTTATATTGCATATATCTCTAAGGATAAAAACTGGATCAAAAACCGCTTTTAGAAAAAGTTTTGCTCAAGGTACGCACGGCGTGAGGCGCGTCAAAAGAAGCTTGGTCCCTACGAGTTCGTTGCGTGCAAATCCACATTGTCCAGAGGGTTAATGGCGCTCAAGACCGCCACGCCCTCCAGTTCATTATGGTCACTGCCTTTAAGTTTTTATTTTACAAAGTTTCCATCTATGAAGAGGAATAATAAGGAAGAGTTGTTATTCTTAATTTTCTGTAAGTGCATGGAGCACACTATTGGTTCAGCTATTCTTTTTTTATTCTTCCGTAAAAGCCTTAGGAGTAGAAAATATCTAGAGCCAAAAGTACTAATAATAAGAAAAACTCACGGGCCAAGTTTCAAATCTACAAAGTCCTTGATCGCATTGCATCGTGTCTGCATATTTGTACTGCTGCTCCAAAAAATCAGTCCATTGACTCCCATGAGAGCGGGCTGTTTGATCGTACTGCATAGATCTTGCTAGAAAATGACGACCACTCCTTCTCAGATAAGCTCACATGCATAATACTGTATTGGTCAAACAAGTAAACTTTCTGCTTCTGAGAAACTTACACCCCTTTTAATTCCGAATTTAGGTAGCTATCATATTCAATAACTGCAACACTTACGTCATTGTAGAATGAGCAATTCTTTCTTAACGGGATCGTATTCGAATTTGGTATAAGGAAAGATAGGCAGCGGCGGATTGTACTTTTGTGCAATCCGATTTGCTTCTCTCAAAATTGCCTGAAAAAACGCCATAAGAAAACGTCGTGAGGTGGTTTTCCAACGACATCATACAGCTGTTTTCAATCACAATACTTTATTTATTCCTCGTATAACCATCTTCCTTTCAACCATATTTCCAATTAGGGCTGAAACCCCTTCTAAACCTGGCAGAAAGATGAGCAATATGCTGGAGAATGGTCGTTTGACCACAAGTCCC